CATGATAAGATGGACCCCGACATCAACCCTATGCTTTGAATTTATTATACTTTGTTAGGTATATACCAAATGAACCCTCAGCGTCCACTAATCCTGTTAGAAAATAAGGATTTAATTTGTTATTATTGTTTTTAATCATCATTGTAACGGTATAAGTCAATCAAAGTTTGTTAATAGAAAATAAAGAATCGCCGAATATGTATTGATTAGATAACTCTGTTAATTCCAATCAGTTGCCCAGAAGGCCCACGTTAACACCGAGAAAAACTGCTCCTACTAGCCACGAAAAGAACACGAAGATATTTTTCTCTCAAAAATCGGTTTCCCGACGACTAGAGTACACCTTACAGCTATAATAGCTAAAGAACCATCTACTCGTTGCTCTTTTACAGACAATTATCATAGAGTCTGATTTAGATCCGCGATTACCCATTTTTCTTTCGTCTATCTCTAGTGATATTACCATACCCTGGGTCATTAATCAGGCCAACCCTCAAATTTCTTTGAAGATATTGGTTACTAGAACTTTAGGGTTTTCCCGGAGTTTGGTCCTTATACACAAGGAGAATTGCCAAAATTCTCCCCCATGAACAGAAATAAGTTTAATTCTTTCTGTATTTATTGCGGTTTCGTTGCGCAAAGTCTCTGAGGTTCCAGTTTTATTTATAAATATAACATAAAACAAACATATATAACTGTTACCTGCTGATTTACTTCATCGTTTTAACTTTTTTACTATGTCATTTAAGATGGAGTATTTAAAATTGAGTATCGAAGTAGTTCCAGCATATAGCAACGTTAAGAAGCCTATATATTTATAGCTACGTTGATAAGCCCTATTAACCATATTTTTTTTTCATTATTCGTATGAGTTATTTGTGTAGAATAATAAATATTCTCTATAAAATTTAAGACTTGAAACAAGAGTAAAGGGCATTTATTCGTCTATAAATAGAGAAATTTTTAGTAAACAATAATATTGACTAATTAAATAGTTAATGTAATTTAAAATTACAAAAATCTCATTTAAATTAATACTCAAATACTCTCGTATTTGTTTGGACTATATCTTGCATTGAGTGATATATCAGAAAAACAATTATAGATTACTACCCTGACCCGACTTTTAAATTGAAATTAAAAGTCTCACCTTTATTCTATAATTAATTTCATTTCCCATCTCCCTTTTAACAATCCAAGGAGTTTAGGACATTGCATAAGTAAAACTTTACACTATACTTTAAGTGCTTAAATATAGTGTTTCCTTTGAATAACTATTCATACTTAATTTTAATTTCCGGATCTTATTTTGACCCTCTGGAGTTAGGTGCTTTTTAGATTGAACAAAAATATAACATTGTCTTCATTTTAGATAGTTCAAATACTTACTTGATAGCAAATGGTAGCTATCTAGATATTTTATGAAATTTCTAGCCGAACCAAAGCTAGTAGAACTATAATAGTAAGTATCTTTAATTTTTCTGTATCCTATATTTCCCCAAAGTTATCCTTTATAAGATCAAGTAGTGAACGTGTTTTTTGGTCAATTTGAACATATAATCTAACCTCAGTAGTGTATTACCATTAGGATTTACTCTATCGATTAGCTTTACTTGAAAACTACCATCACTATCGATAAAACCAGCTAACCAAGAGTTATTTATATTTGAATTAGTATTTAAGTGAACATCCTCTTTGATTTTAATAGGTTTTTATAAACATTGATTAATGATCAATCTTCGACTGTAATCTCAATTTACCATTTATTAAGTTTATAACTTTCCCTATTGCTTCAGGAGAAGTGATAGTTATCATAACAGCATTTTTATTAACTATTTTAGTTACTTTTCCATAACCTAATCGTCCTTTTATAAGGAAACATCTAAAATATTAAAAACAATACCTATTTGACGGCTACCGAATCAACCATCACCATCGATTAATCCAGCTAAATAATGACCAAACTCTTCGTCTGTTAAAAGTTTTCTGTGAGTTGTTACATGTTTTGAAATTAACTTAATATTTTCACTATTCACGGACAGTTCTACACTGTTCTCAATGTTTTTGCGTATAGTCTCTGAGGTTCCAATTACTAATGTATTGTTACCTGCTGATTGACCTGGACTCAATTTTGTTACTATGTTAGCATATATAAAAAAAATATATCTAATGGAGTAATAGTATTGTCTTATTATTATAAGGTGTTTCCAGCAAATAGCAAAATTAAGAAGCTTAAATATTTTATATAATTCGACCTCTGGATGCTATAATATTATTAATATTATTTGGACCATATCTTTAAATATAAACAATCTAATTTTCAGTATAATGCTCATATTTTAACCATTTAGAATAAAAATATTGTCAACTTTTTTCTAAAAAAGTTCCTGGTAAAGCCTTATGGGATTTCATGTCTTTCAACTCATAAAATTTAGGAATTAAGTGAAGTCTATTTTTTTTAGCAGATCTTGAAGGATGTTTTTTAAAATATTCAATTAATTTAAGAATATCCTCTCTTTTGGTGATATACCATTTGAAAGATTGAGAACTACCTCTATCAATATAGACATTACCACCATAAAGATAAACCAGAGGAGTTAATAGTTCAGATGTTCTTTGAGTAGCAGTTATAGATAATTGTCCATTAGTAGTATTTATAGAGATTGAACCATCAGCATCAAAAAACCCTGCTAATCATCCATTATCATAACTTAACTTCTCAGGGTAAATTAAATCTAGACCATAGTTTATACAAATCTTATTTAATTGAACTAATCTATCAGAATTTCTAATATGTCCATTAACATCATTAATTATTTCTAACAAACCTGCTTTATGGTGCAATCTATATCTCAATGCATTTGCATTGGATCTTAATTTAATTGATCCTCCATAAACATTCTTAACAATTTGTAAAGCATATTCATCTCTAATATCCATTGTAATTTCTAAGCTTGCATAACCTAATTTGGATAACAAAAAGCTTCCGTCTCCATCTATTAAACCTGCTAATCATTGTTTAAACTTTAAATTATCATCTGTAGGGTGGCTACCCTTTCCTATTTTATGAATTGATCTAGTGTTTATATTTAACAAACGTATGGCCTCTGAAGTTCCTACTGACATGCTTAACCCGAAAAATTTAGTTATTTCAGATTTGAAGTTTTCACTTCGTGCTTTGGTTACTTGCAGATTGTTCGTATTTAAAAGGATTTTTACTTTAGCGGTATCAAAAATATAACTTACGTCTAAAGTACCTAATAAATTTATAACGAATTCCCCGCTTATAGTTTGTTGCATTAAAATAATTTTAAAGGGCCATTCAAATTGACCGAAGAATCCATTTTCTCCAAATTTGACTTAAAGTAATAATACTCTCTCGTATCAAACCCAGGTACTACCATATAAGAATCTTTCTCAATAGTAGGCTTGTGCCCATCACTAATATGGTGGAGAAACCGACTGTACATTAAGCAGCATTTCAGCCACCCACCAGTGAACCAGTCTGTAGCGATTGCTTAGACAACCAACGGTCTTTAATTGAGAAAATCATTGACCGTAACACTAGTGTAGCTAAGTAATTAAACCTAATTACCTATTACTTAATCAAGTAATACTTATCCTAACTAACTTTTCCTTCCAATCACAAATTGTGAAAAGGTTTATAAGAGATCTACATTTTATCTCTATAAACCTAAGAGTTGCAAGCATAAATAGATAAGAGCTAGGGTTATGGTAGGCCTTCGGCCCTTCGTTATTAATGGTCTTTGAAAACTTATAACACTTGCCTTAATAATTTCATAACTTATCTTATTTATACGTTAAACCACACCCTCTATTCCAAAAATGATTTATTATTTTTCTCTCTTAATGCGTAGCCCAAGCTGAGACGGAGCCTAATCAATCTTCTAATTTCAGATTCCTAGGTGTCCTAAACTGAAAACTAAAGGCTATAAT